GCCTGACCACCCTCAAAATCAGAAAGTTCCTCCTAATCTCCAACCTAAATTTTCCCCTGCTTTAGCTAAAGGCCCTTGCTCCTAGTCCTGTCCCCTGTGGTCAGGGAGAAAAGCCCATCTCCATCCTCTTTATAACCACCCTTCAGGTACTTGAACACTTCTATCAAATCCTCCAACCCCAGCCCCTAGTGTTCTCTTCTCCAGACTAAATAACCCTAACTCTTTCAGCCTTTCCTCAAAAGTCATCCTTTCCAGGTTTGTTCATCTGCACTGGACTCATTCCAAACTGTCCACAACCTTCTAGAAGTGTGGGGCCCAAAACGGGACACTGTACTCCAGGTGAGGCCTCGCCAGCCCTGAACACAGTGGAAGAATCACTTCCCTCGATTTGCAAGTGACACTCCTGTTAATACAGCCCAGTATACTGCTCGCTTTTTTGCAATAAGAGTACACTATTGGCTCATATTCAGCTTATGGTCCTTCTCTGTAGTACCGCAGCCTAGCCGGTCATTCTCCAGTCTGTATTTGTACCTGCAATCATTCCATCCCAAGTGCAAGACTTTGTACTTGTCCTTGCTGAATCCAATTGATTGCAGACACTTTCTCCAGTTTATCCAGGTCATTCTGGATCCTACCCCTACCCTCCAGACTATTTGCAAATCCACCCAAACTGTCTGCCAAACTGCTAAGCATGCACTCGATCCCATCATCCAAATCATTAGCGAAGATATTAAATAATACTGGACCTAGGACAGATCCTTGTGAAGTCCTACATGATACCTTATCTCAACTAGACATTGAGCCACTGAGGACTACTCGTTGAGTATGGTGATACTAGTTATGTATCCACCAGCCTACAGTCCCAAAACCAGGCCTTATGCTGGTGGTCACTGCAGGGCCTGGTAAAGGAAGGTAGCCTTCTCCTCATCCAACGGGGCCATTTTCTACCTACAGCTCTGCACATCAGTCCCAGGAAGCATTTCCTCCTCCCCTTTTAGGCAGATGTGCCAGGAAATAAACTTTTCTGCAAGCTCTCCCTAACCATCTAGAGAATATGAAGGCATCAGGTCTGTTGCAGTGTTCCCAGTGTGGCTGATGATATTAGAAGGAACCAGCCGTATCATTCATAATCTAATAAATATCTTCCCATTCCCCCTTCTCAGTGGAGAACAAGTTGATGACGATTTTTCCACCAATATAGACTGACAAGGGAATACAAACGGAGATTCAGATTTCCAAGACTGCCAGCAGCCATAGCTCTTTAGTTCATTTACATCCGACTAGGTCTTGCAAAGGAAGTCCACGTGGGCACAGAGACACACTGGTGCTTGTATGCTGCACAATTGAGGCCTGTATTTCCTGAACTTCAACACAACATCCCATTCTTGAACTTCAACACAACTGTGAGTGTGTCAGGAGCTGAGCAAATGAAACAGACCAGGAGGAATTTCATTAGTCCAATTTTTATTCAAATGTAAGTATTGAAAACTATGATGAGATTTTTTTTTCTGAAAGAATTACATGAGTTTCAATTGAGACCATTACTCAAGCTGTTTGTTGAATGGATTGAAATCCATAAAGTAAATTACTTCATAAGATACTTCGTCCTTCACATCCATGCAAAAACAAAAAAACAAAAACAAAACAAACATCATGGGTTTAAAGAGTCAACCAACCGATTGCAATATTCTGTTACACATCATATTTAACAAGTCCGTTTTAGAAAAACAAACTATACGTCCAGAAAAATTCTTCCACTCTTCCATAATTCCTAAAGCACTGTATACATAAATATACAAATTAATGTGCTCAACATTTCTTTATTGCCATTCAAAGGAAAATAAAATAATTTATAATCCCATAAGCAAAGGTAGGGGCAGGAAAGATTAATGAATGCACTTTGCTCATTTCCAAATATATGTTCCCAGACAATATATTTTTGAATAATAGCATTTCCTAACAGATATAAGTCATGTCTGTCCCACTTTGTCTCTTGCTGTTGCATCAAGGGGGTAACTGTCATGACTAGGGGTCTACCCAAGTCACAGGGGGACTTACCAATTTCCATGGGTTGATCACAGTGTAAAGATCACAGTCCGCAGCGGCCCTGCTCCTTGGCGGTGATAGGCCCCAGGGAGATGGCGAGGGGGCGGCCGCCATCTTGACTGCTGGTTCTCCCTCAGTGCTGATTGGTGGAGAGGCCCCAGCGGAGGAGGATAGATGAGGGGCAGCAGCCATCTTGTATGCTGCCCTTCATGCCACCCCACCAGCCACTGCCTTCCCCTCCCAGCAGCGAGGACCTCCGACTTCATTGGGGAGCCAACATTTAATTTTTATTTGGGGGGGGGGGGGGGGGGGTAGGGAGTTGATTTGGTGGACAATCCTGGATTTCACAATCTCTGCAAAATCCATGAAACCGTAAGTTAAGTAGGTCCCTAGTCATGACATTACACAATTTTCAGTATGAACCCCACCCCCGCTTAATAATGAGATGCATTAAGACATTAAGCTATCGTTATTGTTTAATGAGTAGACACTGCACGTAGCTGAATGTTAAAGATCTTGGTCTCCCAATAATGCAAACAAAATACCTAAACTCACCTTTCATGGTGCTTTCAAGTAATGTTGCCCCAAGTGTCTTCACGGTGATTACAAAACTCTATAAAATCTACAGAGAAAAAGTATCCACATAACCTAAAATAAACTGAATTTATCTATCAAGTGCGAATGGAAAAATACAGACCCGATACAAACATCCTTAAAGAAGACTCATTGAGACAACACACCTTCCATGTTGAAAGTGACTCTAATTTGCTCATTAATGTTGTAAGCATATCATTGCATAACCATTTTTACAAACACAGCTGTGTTGGTCTCTCAACATACTTCATTCACAGAAGGGGATCTCCCCCTCAAACCACACAAGCCACTTTAGGGGCCCCATCCTGCAATGTTCTGGTGCACAGAAATCCCACAAGTTCTCCTAAAAAAACAAGTTACGTGATTGGGCCCTTCAATTATTAGAGGTTTAAGAGGAGAATTGTGGAAATTCTGGGTCAACACTGGGCTTGTAAGAGGAACAAGGAATAGTCTACAGAACTTACTTCAGTTACTAGATATGCTTTTAATATCGTTGACTGTGGGCTTTATACCATTCCCTTATAATGCACTGCAGTATTCTGCTCAGATGCAAGACAGCCTAAAAATGAGACTGACGACAAACAGCCTGGCTTGATGCCCAAACTAAGTAAAAAGCAAAGACTAAAGGAAGAGCAAAAATCAAGAAAATATAAAATTAGAGATTTAAAAATATCCACTATTCTAAGATGCCAAATCATTTTAAATTCATGATGTTGAACCCAAACATGGGCCTTTAATATGTTAGAATTAACACAAGAGCAAAGAGAATATCCCACCTTAATTACAACATTACAATTTCTCATGCAGAAAACGTACAAATTCACACGCACAGCACAGCTGGTGAAAACGGCATTGGAACGTCGTAATCAGAGATGGAACTTAAGAGAAATGTCCTCAAGAACAATAAAAAGCAATTCAAAGAGTCTTTAAAATTATTTTATAAAAATATTTACACTAAAATTTGTTAGCTCTAAAGATACATTTTCAGTCCTAGAAAAAGGCAATCTTTAAAGGAGCTGGCTCAGGTGCTCAGAATTAATCATACAAACATTAGACCACACAACAAAAGGAAAACAAATCCAAAAGCATTTGATGGGGAAAGTACAGCTGGTTCGTCCTGTGTTACAGTTGTTAATATTGCATAGCTGAAAAATGAGGTCACTTGACTTGCATAACACTGCAACTTCCGAGAAGGAAGGAAAGAAATGTGCTGTTTACTATCAATAAGGAAAGGCTTTTCCCCAGACCAGCTGTGCTTCCTGGACTTCCAGGAAGTGCACAGGTCCACTGGTTTTCTTTTAGGCCACATGCGTGTGTAAATATCAGTTTACAATAACAGGAAGACACCAAAACCCCAGAAGATGAATGCATCTCACTCTTTTTCCTCTCCTTTGTTATAAACCCATGAAAGTGCACTGTCACTAATCAAAATGCACTGGCTGTTTTGGTACCTGGAGCAGACAGACGATAACTTACTACAGCTTATACTGATCTGGTCAGACTCTCCAAAACAGAGAATGATGGTTGCCTAATAGCTTTTCTGAGATGACACACAGATGATTCAAGTGCTTTTGTAAGCGCCCACGCAACAGGATCTTACTTATGCCATAGATAAGAAACGCCCTAGGACCTGCTCCACAGCATGATGAAGCCAATGGAAAGATTCCCCATCAGCTTCAGTGCCTTTTGGATAAAGCTCATAGTGGGTAAGTTAGCGGGTCAAAGCACAGTAGTAGAGAAACAGCCAGTAGAACCAATATCGGTATTATTTTCAGTGCTCTTTCAGCCTGCAGGGGACAGGTGTTAGCTGTACTTTCCTAGTTCACTTCCAGGACCCTGGATCCAGTCCACAGCAGCAGCTCAGCTGCTGTCATCGGTCCTGTCATTCTAGCGGACAGTTCACTCTGAGGCTAAAAGGGAAAGACAAGCAGATGCTATTTAACATTCCACAGAGGGGCTCACAGTCTCCCTGTGGAGCGTGAAGTAGCAAAGGTATGTGCTGCTCCCCCCGCCCCCAAAATCAACAGGACTTGGCCACATGTAGCCACGTTGCAGGAACGCTGCAATGTGAATTTAAACTCAGCCTGTTTAAAAAAAAAAAAAAAAAAAGAATACGCTTCCCACTGAATCCCCATCTCACTAACAGCCCGAGCTGGCATATTTTTATCATCCTTTTCAAAGAAGGTTTCAAAGGGTTTTTCTATTCCCCTGTTGATGTTTAAGAGCATTTTCAGCCACACAAATATTAAGAGCTCATCTACATGGGGAAAATGACTGAGAACCATAACCATGCTGCCATGACTGGAAAGCGACAGTCTACATAAGTCAGGTATCCAGGTTGTAGCTGTATTGGTCTAATAAAAGATATCACCTCTACCACGAGTTCTGATTCCACGGTCTACATAAGACACTCTCATTCAGCCAGTCAGTTTTTCCCAGTGTTAACAAGCCCTGACCGATTCCAGAAAGGAAACCTGGTGACACTGCCTCTGCCTGAAGTCCTGTAAAACACACAAAGTTCAACAAATTTGAAAAACAGAGGATGGATTTCTATGCTACCTTCTCTTAGCTAAACTCTCCCTTAGTGTTACTTTTAATGCCAGTAAATACAGAGGGGGTGCATCAAGATTACCAGGAACGAGCACCAGGACTCTCAGAAATGCAATTTTCAAGTTGATTATTCTATAAACAGAAAGCAGGCATGAAGGATTCTGGGCACGGACAAGTAACACACGGGTCCACATTTCACTTTATTAAATAACCTCTTACTCATTGTGAGAGTGATCTTATTTGATCCCATCAACTATTTTGTATGGGTGGAAGAACACATTTAAAAACAGGGAAGATTTAAAATAAGAACAAAGATAACAAAGAATAAGATCTCCACATTCTGGAACCATTAAGACAACGTAGGCATTTTATCTTGGTTATTAATCACTTCTTGAGTGGCAGAGGGCATGTGGCTGGATATTGGCAAGACACATCAATGGCTCATTAAGAAATACACTTTCAACTTCTCTTATCAAATGGCATTGAAATGCTGGACGCAGCTAAAACGGGGCTTTCTGCACAGCCACCAATATGCATGAAATATATGGGGAAAGATTTCTTCTGTTATTTTCAATTCATACCATATTTCAGGGGAGTAATTAGCCCTCTAGAGCCATAGGTTTCCGTGGGGTTTGCCTTCGGTGACTGAAGTATGGCACCTTCACCCCTGAGAAGGGCACTGTCCTGCATGCCCTATTATATTTATAAACTGGCATTCACAACTGGCAAGTCTGTGACTAGTGTAGGAATCACATGCCGTGTGCCCCAATCATATCACAGATCTTCTGGGGATGCACACAATAGTCCAGTGGCACATAGGTACGCATGACTGAGACAAACACAAGCAAAAGCACCCCGGTTCCAGTACTGTTCTGCTGACTGCTTTTGAGGACTGGCGATTAGAAGATTTCACTGTCAGTAGTACGTTCACCCTGGAAGTGCAGTCAGTAAATAGATCAATGGATCAGGTATATAACGTATCAGTAGTTAAGAAATCCAATATATTCATTTTTACTCACGTGCCCTAAACTAGCATTTTGTTTCACACAAGAAATTCATTTTCTCCAATATCAGTTTAAGCACAAGGTTTATCTCAGGATTCTGGCTGTTCAGGAAATAGTCGATTGCACCAATGATAATAAGCAATATCACGTGTCTAGCATGAATCATGTTCTCAGCCAGATTTTCACATGGCTATGCTATCCACTGCAGAGCAGCTGATGTTCTTAATGTATTCCTTGCGAGGCTAGGAGCTGAATAGCAACAAGGTGGGTCAAGTCAGGGGTCCATCATTTTCCCAGGAACACGCAGCAGACTTCACTCCACTTCTGCTCCTTGAGTCTGTGTCACAATTATTTATGAATCCCAGCCACACCTGTTGCAAGAGTGGACAAAGAGACATTAAACTATCTTGGGAGCAACTTCTGCAAAACCAAAGTGCAAAAGCAGGAGTACAGAAAGAAAGTCAGCTTGCACAATCCTGTGAAGATTTCCTCTTCAATGGAATCCATTAAAAAAAAAAAAAGAGAGACCAAGCAGTCAGGGAGCAAAACTGTCTTGTTAATGGATGCTCCCTGAGTTAGTAGTGGCTGCTGTGAACTCATCTGGGAGCCAGAAGGCCCTGAGTTCCCAGTTCTTCCACTGGTCTGTTTACCTGCATAACTTCTTCCAGTGCTCATATTGGTTGGCAATAATGTCCACTTATCAGTGACAGGGTTATAATATTCCACTGAGGCCAAATTGCAAGAACCATCATCTCCTCCAACCACATAGAGAAGCCCATTCACTGCACACACACCTAGAAACAGAAGAGACACTCAGTTGAACTCTACACAATTTACCATACACAGACGTAGTTGTTTTGCATTAGAAGTACCTACGCATCAAGTCTTTCATGTTAATTATTCTCAGGCAAGACCATGCCCTAACGATCAAGAAAAAAATTAAGGTACAGACAGAATGCTCAGTGGTTACCTGCATTTCGCCTACACATATTCATATCAGCCACTTGCTTCCAGGTGTTTGCTCCTGGATCATAAACCTCCACGCTCTTCCTCACCAAGGGACCGTCATGCCCTCCAGTAGCATATAACAATCCACTAAGAACGCCAACACCTGCCAAACAGAGTGCGGTTTGGTTCAGACACGTGGCACAGATACAGTATTAATGGGTAGGCCTTATATTTTTAGGCCTACCCAATGCTCTAGGCCAGGCATGACCACATACTGATTAAGAGGTGGTCGGCCTCATGGACAAAACCCTTTCTGCAACTCTTACTGTAATTTATACCAGCACAATGGAGAGCAAATTCTGATGCTACACTAACCATCTTAAGGGAAACTCTGATAAATGGGCACAAATTTAATTAATGACATAACCTGCCCTACCTAAGAATATCTCAATGGGATTGTCAAGTTTTTCAAACCTGTTTTTCCCCCACTGTCAAAAAAAGCCAAATGTTTAAGTAGTAGTTTAAAGAATTACAGAAGTAAAAAAAAAAAAAAAAAAAAGGTGTGGAAATGCTAAACAGCCCTTCTCTAAAACTGTCTGATCACCCGTGTTTAGCAATGCAAGATACCTCAAGTGCAAAGACAGGACCTTCCAAGGAATGGAACTGTTGACCCTGCACAGAATAGATCAGCTGCCAGCCTGCATCTTTATTTTAGGGCTCAGAGCTAGAACCGAAGCTAAACAGCAGCTCTCCACAACACACAGGAGCACTTGTGTCTTACCTACACAAGATGGCAGCATTGAGCCAAGAATGCTGGAAGTATTGAACATCATGTTTGATGCATGGAGTTCAATGTTATATTTGATAGTTATACTTTCACTTTCTATAATTAGCAAATTCCACTAATGAGAGAATTTCATTTCCTATTTCAATCACTATGTCTTGCCTCACCACACACCCAGCTGAGAAACACTTGCAGACAACTGAGAGCAAGTTCAAGTATCAGACTGCACTCCTTCCTCTGTACTCCATATCAGAAGCACTTGGAAAGTAAAACTCACGCCAAAGTCTGTTTTACTGGATAAACTTCCTTGAAAGCAGAAACTCGTAGCCAGAACTGCTAAACACAGGGACTGTTTCACTGCATTGTAGCGTGAGGCCAGCAATGAGGGAAGTTTGTTCCATTTTCCAAGAACACTGGATGGGATTGGCTGAAGTACCATACACAGAATGCCATGTCTTTCTTTGTATTAGTATCTCATTTAGTAATAAAGGCACACCCCACAGGAAGGGGTTAGTTTGGGGGCCTTGTGAATTTAGAGGATTAAGAGGAGGGTGGACACAACACCTGCTCACACAGTTTCACTACATCGAGGTAGTGAATGCCTCGTACCAGTATGGCAATGAACTTGTACCCTTCATCCAAATCCTTTTACAACGTGCCAAAGCTTTATTACCCAGCTCTTCCAGTTGAGGAATCAGGCACAGAGGATGGATTACTTGCCTACAGCCCAACAGCAGATGAGGAGTAATCGAGGATGACACGCAAGCTTTCCATTCCCTGTTTTACACAAACCTCCAGCCTATAAGCCTCCACTCTGGCCAGCCAAAGGGCATTAAAAAAACAAGCGAGCTGAGTCTAAATAAAAGTTGCCTGAACTCAGTTTTAGGTCATTTAGGTTTCTTAACATTGCTGTTCAAACCAGATGTGAACTTTACTTCGTGAGGGCTGGGGTTAAGGAAATCATGAGAACTGTTGGCAACTTCCATGCCTTGATGATCTTAACTGAGAGGGCAGGAGGTTGGAATAAAAATCTTCAGTTCTCAATTCCATCGCCCCAAGAGGTCGCTTCCAAATGCTTCAGAGCATCAAGAAAAGCATCATTTAAATGTGTGTCATTACCTGCACCACTGCGCCGTGTGCTCATGTCAGCCACGTAGGTCCATTCATTTGTGGCAGGATTATACTGCTCTACAGTACTAAGGCACTGCCGTGATGCTCCATCATAACCCCCCACAGCATATAGCTTCCCTGAAAGAAACGACACAGGATACAGCTGTATCAATGACTTCCATTACCATTGTGCTCAAAGGTCCCAACCAAGACTGAGGCCCCCCACAATAGGTACAATACAGACATACCAAATAGCTGTGCATTGCTTTGGGGGTGAAGGGAAATCTTCATAAACCATCTAGAACTCATATACAACCCAAGCACACATCTGATAGGCAAACTCCTTCCATAAATGTATTTCTTCATAATGGATTAAACATGTTACATATTCAATTTAGGTCTGACCCACTTTTGTAACTGCCAACAGCTATCCAAATCTGTCCTGGATTACAGCCAGTCTCAAATGGTGCCACTCAAGCAACAGGCTACTTAACTCCCATTCTCACCAAGGCACCAGGCCTTGCAACAGACCCAGATGCAAGGTTTGTCCTCCCATCAATACAGACCACATCAGCCAGGAGTTGGTCCTGGGACTGGTTTTGTTCAATATCTTCACCAAAGACCTGGAAGATGGGATGGAGTAAACCTTCAGCAAGTTTGCAGGTGACACCAAGCTGGGAGGAGTAGTAAAGGCACTGGAGAGTAAGGCTAAGATTCAGAGAAACTTTGACAATTGGAGGATTAGACTAAAAGAAATCTCATGAGGTTCAAAAGGACAAGTGTCAAGTCCTGCACTTAGGATGGAACAATCCCATGCACTGGTACAGGCTGGGGACTGACTGGCTAAGCAGCAACTCTGCAGAAAAGGACCTGGAGAGTTCACAGTTGAATATGAGCCAACAGTGTGCCCTTGTGGTGAAGAAGGCAAATAGCATATTGAGCTGCATTAATAGGAGTGTTGCCAGAGGAGAAGTGATTTTTCCCTTCTACTCCGCACTGATGAGGCCATATCTGGAGTACTGTGCCCCAGCAGTCCCTCTAAACTGTGCAGTGTGCATGGCCACGCAGGCACGCCTGGCAGCACGGCAGGAGCATGCCTGCACAGCCGCACAAGCCACATAGCTTAGAGGGAATGCTGCTGTGTTCAGTTTTGGGTCCCCCCACTGCAGAAAGGATGTGGACAAATTGGAGAGAGTCCAGTGGAAAGCAACAAAAATGGTTAGGGAAGTGGGACATACGAGTTCTGGGCTTATTTAGTCTGCAGAAGAGAAGCCTGAGGGGGGATTTAATGGCAGCCTTCAGCTACCTGAAGGGTGGTTCCCAAGTGGATGGAGCTGGATTGTTCTCAGTGGGGGCAAATGATAAAACAGGGAGCAACGGGCTCAAGTTGCAGCAAAGAAAGTTTAGGTTAGATATTAGGAAGAACTTTTTCACTATGAGAGTAGTAAGGCAGTGGAACAGGTTATCTAGCGAGGTGGTAGAATCTCCATCCTTGGAGGTTTTTAAGACCTGGCTAGACAAAGCCTTGGCTGGGATGATCTAGTTGGGGATGATCCTGCTTTGAGCAGGAGGTTGGACCAGATGCGACCTCCTGAGGTCCCTTCCAACCTTAATTTTCTATGATTTTATGATCACTGGACTGAATATCATTTCATAGATATTCGAGCTGGAAGGGACCTTGGAAGATCATCGAGTCCAGCCCCCCGCCCGAAGGGCAGGAAGTCAACTGGGGTCATAGGATCCCAGCAAGATAAGCATCAAATTTGCTCTTGAAGGTGTTCAAGGTAGGTGCTTGAATCACCTCTAATGGCAGGCTATTCCAGACTTTGGGGGCTCAGACAGTAAAGAAATTCTTCCTTATGTCCAGCCTGAAACTGTCTTGCAGTAGTTTAAAACAGTTCGACCTCGTCATCCCTTGGGGCGCTCTGGTGAACAAACGTTCCCCCAGATGCTGGTGGTCACCCCTGATAAACTTATAGGTGGCCATCAGATCACCCCTGAGCCTGCGCTTTTCCAGGCTAAAGAGCCCCAGGGCTCTCAGCCTGTTGCCGTAAGGTCTGTTTTCTTGACCTCTGATCATGCGCGTGGCTCTTCTCTGGACTCTCTCAAGCTTCTCCACATCCTTTTTGAATTGTGGAGCCCAAAACTGGACACAGTACTCTAGCTGCGGCCTCACCAAGGCCGAGTACAAGGGGAGAATGATGTCCCAGGATTTGCTTGAGAAGCATCTATGGATGCAAGCCAGCGTTTTGGTCGCTTTACTAGCCGCAGCATCGCATTGCAGGCTCATGTTCATCTTGTGGTCAATCATGACCCCCAAGTCTCTTTCTTCTGTAGTGCTAGCCAGTGTAGCACTGCCGAGCCTATAAGGATGCTGCAGGTTTTTCCTCCCAAGCTGGAGAACCCTGCATTTTTCAGTGTTAAACACTATCAGGTTCTTGTCCACCCATTTGCTGAGCCTGTCCAGGTCAGCCTGGATCGCCCTCCTGTCTTCTAGTGTGGATGCTTTGCCCCAAAGTTTGGTGTCATCAGTGAATTTGGCCAGTCCGCTTCTGACTCCAATGTCCACATCATTAATGAAGATGTTGAGCTGCATTAGTACGAGTGTTGCCAGAGGAGAATTATGAATTCTCATGAATTAGAAAATCCAAGGCTCATTCACCTGCACCTCTACCAGCGTCATATGCACCATCACCTGCTTACAGTGCCCCTCTGCTGTCTACACTGGACAGTCAGTGACCCCTATGTGAAAGAAGGAACGAACACCAATCTGACATCAGTTCTAGAAAGATGCACAGGCCTGTGGCAGAACACTTTCACCTCCCTGGACGCTCCCTCGCTGACCTCAGAGTAGCCATTCTCAGAACACAGAACTTTACAAATGAAGTTGAACACAATGCAAAACTATGGAAGAAGAAATCACTCAGAGAGTGGACTGTGCTAAGTATGCTCTAAACAGAGGCTACAGATCCTTATCCATTACCTAGATTAGCTTTTGTAACTCCTTTGAGCCTATGGGTTTATTACTTGTTTGCCTCTTCAGCACTGTTCCAGCTCCCTGCTCTCCCTCCCCCGACCCTCTCTTCCCAGTCTTTTGCATTCAAATGACTCTCTCTCTTGGGCATGTCCTTTTGCATCCGAAGAAGCTCCTGCATCTGATGAAGTGAGCTTGGGCTCCCAAAAGCTTATGCTATGCACCTCTGATCCAGTTAGTCTATAAAGTGTAAATCTACTCTGCCTTTTATCCATAATTCACAAGCACATTATTAAGGCACTGCTTGTTAAAGCAATTCCATAGAGATGCATATTTTAGCAGCTCCCCACCACTTACTGAGAAACTCCAAATTTCATGTCCCTCCCACTCCCTTCTATCCCTGCATGTAGATCAAACCAACCTATATTCAACCTTAGGAACTGGAATTTATAACATACTGCAGCTAACTCCACCAACCAGTGCACAAGGGAAATTACTATCACTGCCGCAATTAGAGCTGCATTAAAACATTTCCACTTAGATCAGAAGCGATTAGGCAAACCACAAAATGGAAAAAAATTCATGTTCTAAAATGGCTGTTCCCTGGATCCTCAGCAATGTTGAACAAAGTCAACCCACTGACATTGGGCACTGGATCTCAGGAGCTTCATATTTACATGTTTCTATCAATGGTTGTTCCGTTTACTGAATCTGCCCGTTCCATTCCCTTTGCCTACACCACCCCTGAGTTGACACTGTACTGAAATTTGCTACCATCGGTTCCCTGTTTGCTCACAAAATAGGATGGGCACATACCACGTTCACATATCAATCTGATGTCAATCACCTTAGGATCATGTGGGCAAACTGCTGGTGAATTGTCCACTCAAAGGGATTACGAACTTAATTGTTCCCAGTCTCAGTCTGGAGGAATGAGTTTTACCGTCCTCCAACTGCCATGTTCCCTCACAACACTTATTGCTGATCACCACCCACAAACGATCATTCTTGCACTGGCCAGAGATACGTTTCCACGAAGAGCCCCTGCCTCGATGGATTCAGGAGAGAGTCAGGTACTAAGCCCAGGGTCAATATGAGGATCTTGTGTCGCACACAACAGATGGCAGCATCGGCAGCACTCCAACCCAAGAGAAGCACACTGAAAAGCTGCAATGATCCGGTGATGTTAGAAATCTTTGCATGTTAACACCTCGCAGTGCAGTGATGGGCCTGGCTTGTCCCTGCATTCAACTAGCTACGTGTTAATCTGTAGACTGCCTGGAGAAGAGCTTTGCCCGCCTTGCTGAAGGCCCACCTGGGATTATCCATGTGTTTGAAGCAGTAACAGCCTTGTGGCCAAAACGGCCAGGTCTTACCCTCCACAACTCCCACTCCAACGCTGCTTCTCCTTGTGTTCATGGGAGCCACAAAAAACCACTCATTGGTTTTATAGCTATAGGCCTCTACGGATGCCAGACCTAGAGAAAACAGGAATGCACAAGTTTACTAATTAAAAAAAGATTAGCATTACACCTTTTCTCTCCTATTTCCCCTATGAGCTGAACTAAAATCTCCTGAGGTTCTCTATTTCCTCTGCAACTGCGAAAACCACGTGGCACAATTATATAGCTCTTTTCCCTCCAGGCAAGAAAATGCAAGTTAAGAGCAGAGCAGTCCAAAGGAGCAAGAATCTCTGGCCCCATGAATTTTCCTTTCCACAGTGGCACAGCTTCAACGGCAAAATGGAAAGTGCTCCCAGGCCAGCCTGACCCAGCTTGGCAGTAACAGCACTCTCCAGGGAGGTGATAGACCTCCTTGGTGGAAAAGGATCTTAAACCCACGTCTTCCCCTTACTGGCCAAGTGCTATTACACAAGAGACCAGTACCATCACTGCCACCACCACCTCCTCCTCCTGTTCCAGGCGTGCTTACAAATACAAAAGCATGAGGCAGTCATCTGGCCACAAAGGGATGCCGTGCACATTCAACTCCAAGACTGAGGCTCAACCTTGAATCCCAGTCTCACAGCAGTGCCTAACTCAGGGCTGCAGCTAAGCTCCTAAATCCAAGAGAGAGATGAGATTTCAGACACACCTCTCTCTTTGGTATTCACTGTTGCTGACTTAGGTGTCCCTTGACTCTTGCTTTTGTGAGCCCAGATCCCACGCACTCAACTTTCCCCATTCACTGAAAGGCCACCCAATTTGGGTTTGTGGATTCCACTCCTGTACCCAGGCACCTGAGGCTTAGCGAGGCAACCCTGAGTACCCCAAGTCCTTTTATGGATGCAGATTTTGGGGAACAGAGAAACAGTGCAATATCCCTTCACTGGATTGCCTGGCTTTTCCTAAGTAACATACCAGTACTTCCATCAAACCCGCCCACAGCATAAAGAAGGTCATTCAGCACAGCTGCTCCCAAAGTGCTTCGTCTTTCCTGCATGCTGGCGATGGATGTCCACTGGTCTTTCACACCGTCATACACGTCTACAGTTCGCACTCTTAAAGAACCATTAAAGCCCCCAACAGCATAAACATTGCCTGCCATGAACACCACTCCTGTTAGAAAGAGAAGGCAGACTTCAGATCTGAGACTTAACTGGTGGCTTGGAAAAGAGACATTACTGGATCCCTTGCTTAGCATTTGTAACAGCAAAGGGTGAAGAGAACATGTTCAAACCTTTAGCAATTTTTTACTGGGAATAAAGGCAGAACATAGGTTTTGTAGAGGAAAACAAAGCATATAACACTCAGAATGTTAACTTTCAGGATACTTGCTAATTCCCAGGGAGATGGGGGGCCTTGAAGAGGAGGGCATGAGTAGATTCACAGTACAACCTAGGCCAAATTATTCAGAAGGAGCAATGAGTTGCAAGCCATGCACCTCGCTTCTCCTGGGATAAATCACTTCACCAAACTGCAGTCTTAAAGGTAGTTTCTCACTGGAAAACCAGCAGGGAAAGCCAGGTCATCGTTGGATGGCCAAACCAAGCTGGATGGGGGAAAGGCAGAGAAGAGAGCGGGAAGAGGAAATGAGGCACAGAGGTGGGAATAGTAGTTATATATGGCAAGTGGAGGCCAAGGTGGTATCGCATGGGATATTCTTCTGCATCTTAGTGGAAGGAAAGGGAAAAAGGCAGAGCTGCCTGTGGACAAAGTCATAGAAGGCAAACGTACTCCTGTGTCTCTTCATGGATGTAGTGGGAAAGCAAGAGAGGCTACTGCAAGAGCTCTGGTTACCTGCCCTGCATCTCCGGGAGGGAAGCTCAGCTACCTGATCCCATCGCTCCTCCTCGAAATCGTAGCACTCCACGCTCCGAATGGCTTTGGGCGCCTGCCCACCAACCACGATCATCACCTAGGAGGGAAATAACCAGAGCAAGAAAAGCCTCTGAGATCGGGGCACCGTTTCACAGCAAGGTGCATTCTGCAAAAAGAAAACTACTCCCAATGGCTCAGCAAGAGATACATAGCTGCCTATGGGATGTGAGGGCAGAAAAAGGGAGAGAAGACTTTCCAAGTCACAAATGGGAATTGGGACCCAGCGGGCACTGCTCCTCTGGGGAGGGCTTCCAGAGGGCCCAATCTGGCAGGAAT